AGAAAAATTCAGACAAGTTTGGCTTTGTGTGAATTCAGTCAGACTGTCACTACAGACAATATAGTTCTGCTTTGAATATCTCCAATACCATTACACCACAAATACCAGTAAGATGCTCAGATGACAGGCTGGTCAGTAAAGCAAAACAAGTTGTTTAAGTTATGGAGCAACTATGGCAATTGGAGAAATATGCTGCATCTATGCTGCTACATCACCTTGGGGCAGGTAAGAGCTGCTGAAACACAATGAATTACTGCCAGCTGTGGGGGGACAAACAGTAAAATGAAGAGATGCCCCAAATCATCCTGCAATTTCTCAGCCCAAACCCCCATACAGGTGCTTCTATGGATGACAGAGCATCTAAAATGCAGTGTCAACAATGGTGGTATCATCACAACAAGGTCAAACTCCACATCTAAAAATTAAGTATCAATAGTTGACTGTCTCAAATATGGATATTGATCAGGTCCCTCAGCTTGGTCCTCACTTCATACACTGAGTACTGTGCTTCATTCAGCATCTCTGTCACCTACCTCTGGTCCATATTCCTGTTTGTTGGCTGGAGGCTTGGATAATTTGTCTTGAAAGCACAAAATCATAACATAATTCATATTTAAAAAGACATGAGAGTTCTGTTGGTCTGTGCCTTTGGAGGTATGATGATGAAGAGACTGAGAAATAATGGGAAAGTCTGGCATACAAGACTGAACACAGGAATTTAAAAAATTATATTGAACAGAATACATCACTGAAGAAAGCTAACTGGAGAAATTACCTGTGAAAACTGACACTCCAAAGTGTCACATTTTCATGATGGAAATCATGGCACATAGCAAAAATTTTCAGATAGTACACAACACACAGGGACATGGGGGAACGCCACCATATATGTCTGGATCTTGCAAGGACAAAGGGTTTTCTGGGTTTGGCTTGGATATGTGATATATTCAGCTGCATCAGACTTCTGTTTGGTGAATATTTCAGATTAGTTCTGCATTCACCATACAAGCTTTATAACACTTTAAGTGCTGTAATTCTGACTGGAGCAATATGTGTCTCTGCTGTTCAGATATCTTTAAAATTCTGCCAAATCCTCTAGCTCTACAAAGAGGATATTTTAAAATGAAAACAGAAGATACATCAATGGAAATCCAGATGTACAGCTGCCTTGATGCAGAGGCCAGTGGCAAGCCCAAGCACAATGCCACAGAGCTTCTTCAAGAATTATCTGATCCCAAAAAGGACACAATGTAGTGGGAACAAGATAGGAATGTGAATGTACTCTGCTGAAATAGCTATGCCAGGAATAACTTGCTGTTAGAAAAGTTTCTGGTAAAACTTTGAAACATAGATGTCCTGTTAACGATATTATTCTACTGGTTCAAAGTCTGTACTCTCAGTCTTTGGGATTGTAAGGGTTTGACACGTTCATGTTAATTTAGACATGTTGTACTATCTTGGCATATAAAAAAAGGGCTAATTTCCTACTGTGCAGGAAGCTAAAAATATTTAGCAGAGGTAGCATGCACCAAACCCCAGATTAAGGAGAATACAAAGAAAGGAACTAACAAAATTATGGGTATCACTACATTGCCAAAATGAATGAGTGTTCCCTGTATTAGAGAATCAATGGGACTAGACAATTGGTAAATGGGAATATATATCTCCTCACTATGATTCAGAGGAACAGAACAGTATGATCCTGTTAGAAAATGCCTCAAGTCCACGTTCTTGTGCTGCATCTTATCTGTGGTCAAAACGCAAACTTCATTTCCCAACAGTCCAGCAATCTTTACATTCCTTTTGCATACTTTTCATTCCATTTGCTTCAGGAAAAGAATCTGCCTGTCATCATCTTGGACGTATTTACATATTTTAAAAATGGAAATATCATAGTATGTTATACAAAACCCCTTTCCCCTAGAAATGGAAACACTCCTCTGTCTTGCTGTTTTATTTAACGTTTAGAAGTTAACTGCATTACAGTTATGCAGCTCCATAATTGGAGTATAAAATAATCAGGATCACTAATAATTTTCTCAAGAGTTATCTGTCAGCACTCATAACTCATCATGAAACCAATTATGTCACTTCTGGAATGCCTTTCAATACTTTGGTGCCTGCCAAAGTAAAAGTCAATATGAGATTTTTCCATGGCTGATCATGGCTAAGTGGCTCCAGTGGCACTCTCTGTTGGGGTCTGCCATTCAGGCTTTTAGAATTGCATAATCCCAGTCTTATGAGGTTACTCCAGTAAGCACATCTCATAACACAAGTTATTTTCTAACGTACTAAATGCTCTGATTGACAAGTTACCATGAAACACTGTGCTGAACAACACTGATTAAATTATTGAAAAATAGCACATAGTTTTATGACTACGCATTTGGTAACAACAGAGTTTTATCTGACTTCTGGTCAGATGGAAAAATCCCTTCTGTGCCACAGAGCCACACACTTGTCCATTTTAATACTTGATATATGTCTTTTAAAACACACTTGAAAATACAAGGTCTGCAAATCTCCCTTAAGATACCAGCAAGTTTTGTACTACAACACACTTCTATAATGAATATCTTGGTTCTTCACTACTAGGAATTCTACACATCTCTCTGACTATTTCAGATCAGCCTGGTTCCTGCAGCAATCCACCTTAAATCCACCTTTAAAGTGCTAAGATCTTAAGATAAACTGTTCTGCCAATTGTTCTGACAAATTAGGTCTTCTAAGCACTCAGATTACAGATCTATCCACTTAATAGCTGCACACTTCTCATTCAATTTTTCTGCCACATTCAGAAATCTCCTTTTCAAAGTGTTCATGAAATTTTTTCAGAGAGAAAAAGCCACAACTAGCTAATTATTTGTTCTTACACCAAACCTCACATAAAAATTAAGTTGAAATTTTTATACTGTTACTTAGCCATTCACATAGGAGGAAAAAAAATAAAAATAATTAAAGCCCTATTTGCCTCAGGGAGATGAAGGGCCTCACACAATTTCCTGCCCAAACTAACACAAGCTTTTCCACCACCTTGTGTGGCCATACAAGCAAAGCAGACTGTCAGTCATAAGCAGTGAAAAATAAGAAGAAAAAGTTACAGCTTCCAGTATTTTGATAAACCATTTATGAGAATAAAAAAGTCAAATGAAATTATTAAATGTTAAAATTATTATATTTCAATATGTAATTTCTTTTAACATAAAAAATCAGTTTTGTGTGAAAAGTCTTCTGAAATGAAAAGCTAGTTTCTGAAGCAGGTATGATACCTGTTTTACTTGCAATTACAAGGGAATATATACCCAGTCAGTTGGCAGGTACCCATTGAGGAGTATTAATTTCCAGCTGAGGAGTGTAAGTTCTAACTATAAGCTAACTTCTCACTAGAGATGTTTCTCAAAGTTTGCATATGAGTGATTTGTTATAAAGCCAGAGATTTATTATCTTGTGGAGAAATAAACTGGTCTCATCTGTTCAGAGTACCACAATGAAAATATGAAGATTTCAGACAAAGGAATAGTTTAAAGGGTGCTTATTTAACTAAATATATTATATCATTTCCTTTAAATGCTGAGGATTTCACTCCACTGCTGCATATACTATTAATCTTTATAAAAGCATCCTGGGCTACAGTCTGAAAAGCAAAATGGAAATACAGTTCTATCCTAGTGCAATCTTCAGCAAGTTTTTTCAAAGAAAACTGTAGTGCTCAATGACCCCCTTTAAAATAATATGTAGCTATTTTAACAGAATCAAAATGCTTCAAGTCAACATTATAGAGCAAACACTAAATTACAGATTATTCAGATTACACATGGCCCATCACACACTAATTGGTAAATCACAAATTAGCTATGCAGTAAATAATTACACACCTATTTCTCTCAGACTTTGGGAAGAGATTTTCTGAATCTTTTCAGCCACTTTGGCACCAAGGATGGTTTAAAAAACATCAATTCCATTAAAAGGGCTTTAGAGAAGACTCCTGTGTGATGGTTATTCCTTTACTGTCAGAGTCTGACAAGCTTCAAAACCATGGCTAGGATTAAGAGCTTTATCTTTCTTTCTTTCTTTTTTTTTTTTTTTTAAACCAAGCAAACAAACAGATATTATAGAACAAAACACAAAACCAAAAAACAGAGTGCCAAGACCAGTCACTGTCTATTTTGCCAAACAATTTGCTGAGATACCCACATGCTAAATCTGCACATGGCTGATCTTTCTGAATTTATTTTTGTTGTTACCAGAGAAAATGTTTCAACAGCAGCTGCTTTTCCAAAAGAAGGAGCTTCAAATAAAGAAAGAAACCTGTGAGGCCTACACTGCTCTGGTTTATAAGATAACCAACTGTAAGAAGTGTATGAATCCATTAAGTTGGACTTATTTGTAGTCATGTCCCTTTGTAGAAACAGGGCTTGCTAAGGGGACAGAAGAAGCAGCACTTCAGAGCAGGAGGTAATTTTGATTGTATTAATAAATAACATGGAGGGAGTATTATACTGGAGTGATGAGAGGGGAGTCAGAACACATTAACTTTGGAAACATCCCCTGTGTAGAGCACTCTCCAGAATCACAGGATGGCCACCCCTTCCTCCCATGCAAGCACCACTGTGACAGCTCATAAACCCAAGTGCCTGTGCATGTGAAGGTGCCCTCAGAGAGTCCTCTCCACTCACAAAATGGACAGGGACAAACTTGCTACTTCCTCTCATCAACTGGGGCTCAATGTCCTGTATTCACGCCAGTAAGTTTAAGGTGGAACATGCAAAATACAATTCAATCACATGAAAAGATGCATTTACACATAAAACTGTTTTGATCACACAAGTTGACCAATGTAACAGTAAAGAATGTTCCAAAGGTGGATCTCAGGGAAAAAAAAAATCTCAACAACCTTTCACTACATTCAAAGTAGTCACAGAAAAATAACAGATTATCAGTCAAAATTATTAACAAATTTTAAGGAAAGTATGTATAAATGAGATCTACAGTTCTCTTACCTTGCCAATGGTCTCGTGCAGGCTGAAGGAGGGATCCAGCTCTTCAGTTTTTGTTGCATGTACAGGAAATAGAGCTTCAGAGAGAAAGCTAGAATTCTGTGAGAAAGAAAGGAGCAGCCTTTTAGGGTTCCACATTGATTCCCTTCTTCAAATTCTTATTGGATTTTTTTGAGAGACTGAAAAACCCTTCAAATTGTTCTTAAGTTTTGGTATTATGAAACTTATTTCACTGATCTAATTAACTCATTCCAAGTCTCCCATAAAAGCAAAATAAAAAAACCAAAGTCTTATTTCTGGAGTGGCAGTTGTCTTTGTAGTTATGCTTCCCAAAGCAGCTAAAATTTTGCCTACAGGGAGAAAAAATATCCCAACAGCTTTCATTCCGAGCTAAGCAGGAGTCAGACATTTTATTAAATATGTTATTATTTAAGTCTTCAGAATAAATATAAAGAAAATAATCAAAGAATTATACTCTTTTATCTTCTGCAACCATCCTACTTCTCTACACAGCAAAACCATCTACATAATACAGGATTTTTGTTAATTCCCAAATACGATATACTTTATCTTGGACACTCTTTTAACATGAGGAATTATTAATATATTATTTGTAGATGATGTTCATCTCTTCTTGTTCTGCAAGAAAGCAAGAAGTCAGGCTGCTGTCACAAGATAAAAACAAATCAATACCAGGTGGACAGAAGAAAATTAAAACAATTAAAAAAAAATCCAAGCATCAAACATGCCCAGATATCTAAAATGGGAGTTATATCACATTGCTGGTAAGTTTACTTGCTAAATTTTTCTACAAATTAATTCCTCCATCATCAACATTCTATCAGTATTTCCATATGTTTCTAGGAGATTATTTCTGGTAGCAAACTCCCACCACTTTCTTTAAAAAAATAAATATATAATTAGCACTGAATCATAAATTTTTGTGTTCACTGATGCATCTGTGTGTTGCATAAGCTGTCATGGAAGTACTGGAAAAATAAATGAAGTAATTCCTCTTTTCAGAAAACTTTTTTTTTTAGCTCTCAGGGAGAAGATGCACAAAGTAATTTATTACAAAGATAAAATACATACTTCAAGATTATCTCAACACCTATTCATCCTTGTTTTAAGTTTGCACACTAGTTTACACAGCCATGTCATTTGACTGGTGGGTCCATTGAGGAACATTGTGATTTTGCTACAGTGGTACTAATGCTGTTCATCATCATTCACATAATTGCAATCAATAACTTAAAAATAATTACATTATTTATATTCACTCTTGAGTACCTTACTGAGAGTCAGTGAAGGGGATGATTACTGAATTAGATTTGCTACACAAGATCAGATTATTGCTTCATCTAGACAAATATTTTTTCTTTGGAATCTAAAGCTTGATGGATCAGCTGCCTGTAAAGCAGGGAGACACTGCTAAACTGGCTTTTCTCCCACCTTACTCTAGACACACACACCTCCCAACTGAGTTGAGACCACAGCAGCTGGGTCAGGTAAACCAGCGACCTTCGGTACTGCCCTAGCCTCTGCCTTTTGAAGGAACACAATGTAAATAAGCAACAATTGGCAAATAAAGTCAAAACCACATTTGGACATCACAAGTCGCAAGTAATTTTGCACATGAAGGAATCAAGACCTTGCTTGCTAAGATCTTGAAAAAGATTACTGGCTGACTTCTGGAATAATCTTGCTCTGCACTTATAAATGGCAATATTCAAAACAGTTGCTGTTCTTTTGTTTTTTCCTTTTTATTTCCCTTTAAGGCTCCTCCATAAAGAACTACTAGAAAGGCTAAGTTACTGTGTTTCTCTTGCCTTTTATTGTTTTTCAAGCAATATGCTCATCAGAGAAAGCTGCATGAACTTTCTAACTAACAGAAGCCTACTCTTTATCCCAGGGAGCACATGGCAGAGAGATGAGTCTAGATGATGTTCCAAGAGTATCTCTCAGCATTTAACAGCAAGAGCAACACTTTCCAACAGTGAGAAACTGAATCAGACTTCTCATTTATTCTTTCAGCAAGCTCACAATAACAAGTGAGTATTGGGTTTTGGTTTTGCTAAGCAAATTTCTAGTAAATATGCGCTAAGAAAAAAACATGCTAACCCAAAGAACACTACAACCAACTATGTTATTCCTTTATGCTTTTCAACCACAGTAGGAGATACAGCTGCACTTGTCCTTATACTCTCCCACACTCACTTCCTAAACACAAATCATGTGCCTTTGTGCCTAGCAGGCACTAGTATCACCCCCAGTTTGACAATGGGCAGAGTCTTCTATGCATTGTGCAGCTGAATGCCCTGAAAATGAGATTAAATTATGGAAAAACTTTTTCAAGGTCAGACCACTGTGAGACATCCTAAAATTTAGGAGGCCCAACTTCCAGTCATGCTTTGAAATTCTTCTCTGTGCTGTTTATTTTCTTTTGCAAATTGTTCTGTAGGTACACAGCTATCCAAATGGATTAAGAACATTTGCTCATCTGATATGAATTTATGTTTTTATCATACAACCTCTACAATCTAGAAAGGATCACTGCAATAATCCTTGACTTCCCAGCATCATCATTTGGTTTCTCTATGACCTGTTCAGAAGAGAAATGAGCAAGCAAAACATGTATTTGAAAGCGGGTTTCCAAACCCTCCCTTTGTCTCATCTTCCTTTTGGAATGATCAGTTAACCTGGTCTTTTCAATACTCATTTAATGAAGCATTCTGTGAAATTAGAAAGACATTGATGTTCCACTTTTCAAATAATGGGTCACTTCTGATTAAACTTCGATTGAACATTCAACTTTCAATCTTAAAACAAATTGCCTCCTTTTCTTTTTAATTTGAACCCAATTTCCTGCTGCCCTCGGGTCTTGTGACAGTAATTAATTGATTTATGAATCAATTAAATGGAGATCGAAAATGCAAGCAAAAATCCCTTAAAACCCCAGACCTAGCTTACTCTTGCTTATTTATGAGGGACACTTGCACTAAAATTCACTTTTGATTTACTAGACTCATTTTTCTAACTTATCTTATCCTTCCTCAACTAATTAAGTGAACAGAATGTTTCACCTTCTAAAGGTACTAAATTTACCATCCCTTGTGTACTGTCTTATAACATACCTTCAATTTATATGCCAACTTTCAACCAATGCATTTAAAATCACAAATAAAATCCCACAGCACTTCTGGTGCTTTAATTCAAAACAGAAAAAATACCAAGACATACTTTAGAGATCTATTTTGCTGTCATTAAACAAAAGCAAAAAAAATGTTTTAAATATATAAAATGTTAACTCACACTGTGTTAGAACTAGAAATACTTTGCAAATACATGCAACAAACAAGTTTTTTATTAGGCTAGGACAATAGTGCATCGACTATTACTTTAGAAACAGTAAAATTACCAGTTAGGAAAATTCTCAATTTATGTACTTAAATTATTAATAATTCCTTAATATGCTCTCATTTTATACCTGAATAGATTTTCCTTGCCAGCTGAATATTGCACAGTTTTAATAAGAAGACATCCCTCTAAGTTAACTTGGTGAATAATACATAAATACCTCCAGAATTTTTTTTTGGGGAGGTGTTTTCTTCGTTGTTTGGTTGGTTGGTTCAAGAGTCACAGATAGTGGTGGTTTCTCCACTCAACAATAATGATCAATCTGCAAAAACACAGTCTTAAGACTAAACTCTTTTAATCAGTTTGACTTCAGAATTGTTAAAATTTGTCTGAATTGTCCACACGTGGGCCAGATTTGCCCTTCGGTAGTTCATCATATTTGTGTCACCAATTTTATACTGCATTAAAGACAAAAGAAGGTACCAAGGTAGGTACAACAGAGAGCAAGCAGTGAGAGGAAAAATCCTTCTGAAATTTGTACAGGTAGTCTAAAAGTATAAACGTGCTAATCTAACACTGCTGAAGTCTGCAGAGCAAATACGCAAAAGAAGGATGAAAGCCGAGAAGAAATTGTTTATTTTCTTCACACAGATGAAAGAATAATATCTAGAAGATGAGAATTGAGGGGTTGCTTTTGCTGAATCAGGACTGAGAATATAATCTGTTCCTTGTCCACGTATGCATACACACATGTCCATGCTGTGTCTGTTCTATGAGCTATCAACCTGTTTCATCATTTCTGCCTTTCTGTAATACAAGAGCACAAAAAGTAGAATTGCAGCAAGCTGAGGGACATACACAAACGTGCATCATCTGGCCACTAAAACACAAAGCAGTCACTGCAAATCTTCAGAATCAACCTGGGGACAGGTTCAGTCTGGAGGCTAAAGTCACCTGCAGAGCACAAGCTATGAAGTTATGCAATGGCCAAAACTATTACCCAGTAAATCCAGAGGCTTAGAATTGCATGAGGACTTGTCTTTATCTGTATTCAAAACCAGTGCCAAAACTCTGTCACAGCATGAAGGAGAAAGCCCCATCAGGACTAAAGATAAACAGAGAGCAGTGAGAACAAAAACACCTCTGAAATCTGCACCGCAGGCTCTCACTAATTCCTTCTTCCATTTTACCCTAAGTCAAGCAATTGGCATACAGTGTCTTGGCAGCAAATACACAATGGCATTCCTTTGTGAAACAGGTGTTTCACCTCACCTATTTTTTTCTCCTGGCAGAGTGATTGAAGCAGAGGTTTGACTGTAAGAAGGATAGAAAAAAGAGTAATAGAAAAGGATATCTCATAGACTAACATATGGTTATCATCAGCTATCTGGAATACTTTTAGTTTGGGAGGGTGCTGCAGACTGAAGCAGATTTGCTGAAAAAGTTGATTGTGTAGTATAGAAGATACTGAAGCCAAACTATGGTTCTCTAATGCATGGGTGAGATTGAATCAATGGAATAATACGAGGCATTAATATATTACATATAGAATTTGTCACCAGTAAAGGCCCTTTAAGCTGCAAATATATTACAGGAGAGTTCATGCCTCTCCATCTTACTAGTAAGCTGACTCTTCCCTTTCTAGGAAGTGCTCTAGATATCTAATTAAAGTCCCCCCCCATCCACAAAGGCTCATAAAGCAATAGAAAAGTTGGTTTTCACTGACTATTATTTAAATGAAA